ATACCAGGCCACATCAAGATCTGCAGGGGGGGGGGTCTGTGGGCGGGGGGCTTATAGGAATCTGGGTGCCCCCTTCTCAAAGCAGGCATCCAGATCTCGCACCCCCTCGTCAATGAGTAAGGGGTAGTTGTTACCCCGACTCATTCACCAAATAAATAGTAAAATCACAAATAAAAACACAACACCGTATACAAAGAAAACACAATACAGGTTCCTGACAAGTCCTTTATTAAAAAAACAAGTGTCCATCGATGTAATCCATATGTCAATCACGCCGCCCAGCAATGTAGATCCATGTCAATCATAATGGATGACAGCCGCCGACTCACCGAAAGAAAAAATACCCGACACCCGCTGCAATGACCAATACCGACGAACACCGCCGCAAAATTCCAGCTTTGACCCGAATGTCAAAAAAGGGGCAGAGCGAGTCGTGACATCACGGGACTTGTTCCATCCCTTGTCATTATGACACCTCTGCTGCTCCCGAATGCTATTTAGAAGCACCAGCATGGTATTCGAGAGCTTGAAACTGATATTCGGGAGGTCTCGAATGCCATGCAGGTGCTTCCATATAGCATTTGGGAGTAGCAGAGGTGTCAATGACAGGTCTGCTGCTCCCGAACGTCAGCAAAGGGGTGGAACAAGTCATGTGATGTCATGACTCGCTCCGCCCCTCTGTTGACATTTGGGTCAGAGCTGTCATTTTGCGGTGGTGTTCGTCAGGATTGGTCTTTCTTTTAGTGAGTCGGCGACTGGCGCCCATCGTGATTGACGTGGATCTCCATAACTGGACGACGTAATTGACCTTTGGATTACCTTGATGGACGCTTGTTTTTTTTTAATAAAGGAATTTGTTTACGGTGTTGTGTGTTTATTTACAATTTTACTGTTTATTTGGTGAATGGGTCCGGGTAACAACTACCCCTTACTCAGTATTATCTATAAATGTTTGAGCGCAGGAAATAACTAGGGAGTTTTGGCAAGCGAACATGCAGAGCTGAAATATGTAGAGAGATTCTCCTCTCTGTGGGGAGACCTGTTAGACCATGGGCCCACAGAAGGAGATTTTGGGCCTGACTAGGGAACCGCAAGTTAATGTGAGAGCTGGTGGGACTTGAGAAATCCTGTGGGTACCGTCCCTGCTAAGCCTTTTGGCCTCTGGTACCATAGAACTGGCTTAACAACTCCAGTCACCTGGAGGCGCTCTGTGTATCCCCCCCCCCCTCTCTTTTAGTCACCTCTTTAACAAATTTGGTATGGTTGGCAGGATTGGCTGTTGTGACGAAGTAGACGAGTTGTAAACCCATATTCACTCTGTGATTGGAAGATACTGAGGGTATAGAGGAGGGGTTGTTTAAAATCTCACAGCAGAAAAGAAAAGAAGAACCTATGCATCTGCCACCATGAAGAACATGACTGGTCATCCCCTCATGAGTCCTTCATGTGGCAAGGGCTCCATCTTGGATATGTGCTTAAAGTTCTACCTGCCAGAAAGCTTGGCCCTTTGTCGAAAAGGGTGATGAGATCTGCTGTTGCCCTGTTGTGGGATCTGTTTGTGCCCTACAGCGAAGACTACTTCTTGGGCTCGCTGCTAAAACTGTGGGACTTTTGTATTTGAGTTACTACCTGTGTTACCGTGTTAGGAAACCACAAGCTGGCATCCTGTAAAGTAGGTGTGCTGCAATTTGTGTCATTAAGATACATAATAACTAGGGTTGTCCCGACACCACTTTTCAAGACCAAGTACAAGTACCTCCCCTCATGTACTTGCCGATACCAATTACCGATACTTTTTTCTTAAAGGGGCAGGTGACATTTTAAAAAAAAAGCAATACAGACTTATGATTTTAGGCCAATTTCTTTATGATTATGAACAACTTTAATTAAAGACTGATTTTGAACAATAAAACATTTGTATTTGCTTTCACACAGCTGTAGTGAAACTACAAATCCAATCATGCATCTGCCACTGGGATCATTTAACATATTCATGTTTTCAACCGTGATTGTGTGGGACCGACCCAGGCGGTATTTCGGTGGGAAACTGTGCGATCTGATTGGCGCAAATGGAGTGCCATTAGAAAATAATGGCACTGCCAGCACGATCAGCAATACAAACTAATCATTAGTTTGTATTGCTGGTCCTTTAAGAAAAAGTATCAGTAATTGGTATCGGCGAGTACTTGATCAAAAGTATTGGTACTCGTACTCGTGGTATCGGTGCATCCCTAATACCTATCACTTTTTTTTTTGCCTTCTTTTGCAGTACATGCATATTTCCAGGATGGGTCTGCAATTGTTTATAAATACACAGTTATGAGTAATGTCGTAAATATAACTGATGTCTTATTGCTGAATGTCCACTAGGAACACTACAACTTCTGCACCCAGGACCCCCGACTCGGAGCCATTATTCTGTCTGCAAAACTGGAGCAAAAAGCGGAGAGGCTGCGACTAATACTAAGGTAAGCCATGCAGAATATAAAATGCCTTTAAGCGTCAATCTTCCCTTCTCTGGTATTTCATATATCTATGTTGTGATCCTGGTGCCCTGAATTACCCTCTAGCTCAGGAGTCAGCCACCATTCAAAAATTAAAGTGATATTAAAGTCAAACGGCTTTGAAGCTTTTTCAAATTCTGATGAAATCACTTACAATGGATGCTGCTCTTTGATGTTTAAAAGTTTTAGTTTCCTGCAGAATCAGCTGGTCAACTGAGCACTGGCCTTGATATCCTGTTTTAGGGTGGCTCCTTTCCCTTGCAGGGTCTTATGGAGCCCCCTTGTATGTCCTCGTAAGCTGTGTGTGTCTTCGCAAACACGTCAAGGCACGTCACTTCCCTCTCCCTGCTCCCCACTCTTCCAAGCTAGTAGATGAACAGTTGCTGGAGTCTGCTCTGTCATTTGTGATCTTGTACTGCACAGGAAGTTAAGGGAAGCCTAGCTGAGAGAGTTTGAGCTGTTCAAAAACATGATGGCTGTATGTGGGCAAAAATGTAAAGGAATACTTTGCTGTGCATTGTATATGTTTTGATGTAGATTCATTATTGAAATAAAAGGAGACAAGAATGTGACCTTGTTTCATATTACTCCCTAAACATGTTCTGAAAGGTGACCTTGGCCTTTCATTTCAGCTGATTGATCCTCAAATCTCTACTCATAGAAAAGAGGTCATAAGTGCAAAAATAAGCACATTCCATGGAGAAACATTGCATGATTTTATGACCTTTGAGGAGCTATCAGCATGGTGCGTTGGTCCTTTTAAGTCTATTGAGTCTACTGCGGCATCACCGTAGGCCATGCACAGAAAGGCACAAAAGGTATTGTGGTTGGAAGGATTTTTGGAGCACTGAAAACTTGAGAGGAGTTATAACCCCTTACTACTAAAAAAAAAAAGTTATGGCTCCGTGATGTTTCATAGATCTTACTGAACAGAGGGGGGGTGTCAGACCATTGCAGAGAGACCACTGTTTCTGATATCAACGGTCTTCTCTGCAGCACACTGCTGACATTTTTTTTTTCTTTGGACTGTAAAACATTTAAAATTTAGTATGTACATGTAAGGTCTAATAGGCAAACACCCAGGTCCCAGTATATAGTGGTGATGTGTTTCACCTTTAGCAGCCGCCTTTCCCTTAAGGCTAGAACATCTACCGCTACTTGGATGCCCCCAGAACTTGTACCATATACTCTGAATGTAGATGTTGCTACAGATCCGTAAAGTACACGCATTATAGGGCATGGGAAAGTGAGATTAAAAATAGAAGAGGGATGCAGGAAATGTAGCCAGAGGTTGGGTTCAGCAGCATACAAAGAAGTATCCAGTAAACGTATCAAAAGGTCGGGGCAGGTAGCAGACAAACGGGTATCCAGAAAACATAGCCGAGGGTCAAAACAGGTATCAGACAAGCGAGACTCTTACCATTACAATTACTGGACAGATGACATAAAGAGATGGTTTGCTGGTGATTTCTGTACCTAAGCAAAAAAAAAAGTGGTCGTTAGTTTATTAAATGTATATATTTGTATTAATTGTATTTATTTGTATTAATTGCATTACTTATTATCTGCTCTACACTGTAACAACCAACAACTTAGCACAAATCGCTCTTTCTCTACACTGGTCTGGGAAGGGTTGGGGGGGGGGGGGGGGGGTACAA